GTCTGGGCGACAGAGTGAGACTCTAACTCAAAAAAAAAAAAAAAAAGAAAGAAAAGAAACATGGAAAAACCATGGTACATAATCACACGAATTGCAATGGAGTCAAGCAGGAATCATTTTCCACAGTGTGATCCTCACTATGTGCAGAGTCCCCAAGTGCCACCTGGCATCACCCTGGGACCACATTCCACAATGATGATGCCCTGCTTTACTGCAATGGTTTTTCAGATAAACCTCTTTTCTCCCCAGTGTATTCTTAGATTGAACTCCAATGTGTACATACAACGGACAAAACCAAAGCAGTTCACTTTGAAGCTGGTTTGAAAGACCCAGTGGTCCTCCCCTTCGTCACAGGGCATCTCTTTAAAACCCCCAAGGCCCTGTGGTACCCAATTTGCCAGTCCTAATCCAAGAGCATCTAAAAGAGAGTTCAAGGTTTGTTTTGTTTTGTTTTGCTTTTTTTGAAGATAGGGCCTCACTCTGTCAGCCAGGCTGAATTGCAGTTGGTGCAACCATAGCTCACTGCAGCCTTGTACTCCTAGGCTCAAGTGATCCTCCAGCCTCAGTCTCCCAGTAACTGAGACTATAGGTGTACCACTACACCCAGCTAATTTTTTTTAAATTTTTATAGAGATGGAGTCTTGCCATATTGCCCAGGATGGTCTTAAACCCCTGGCCTCAAGCAATCCCCCCACCTTGGTCTCCCAAAGTACAGGGATTACAGGTGTGAGCCACCACACCCAGTCTCAAATTTTTATTTTATCATTATTTTAAAATTTTTCTTCCTTTTTTTTTTTTCCTTTTTTTGAGTCAGAGTCTCACTCTGTTGCTCAGGCTGGAGTGCAGTGGCATGATCAAAAACTCAATCTGCTGGCTCAGAGGATCCCTGCTGCCTCAGCCTCCCAAGTAGCTGGGACTACAGGCGCACGCCACCACTCCTGGCTAATTTTTTTGTTTTTTATTGTAGAGACAAGGTCTCACCATATTCTTCAGGCTGATCTCAAATTCCTGGACCCAGGCAATCCTCTTGCCTTGGCCTCCCAAAGTGCTGGGATTACAGGTATGAGCCACCATGCCAGGTCAAGTTTTTAAGTTTATATATTACTGATAGTAATATAAAATACTGTCATTCTGATAAACAGTTTGGAAGTGTCTTATAAAATTAAACATATACTCAGCACATGACCCCAAAATCCCATTTCTAGGAATTTATCGAAAGCAATGAAAACTTACATTCAAACAAAATCATGTACACAAATGTTTATAGCAGCTACATTCATAATCACCAAAAACCGGAAACAACCTGAATGTTCTTCAAAGGGTAAATAGATACACATTGTGGTATATCTACACAATAGAGTACTACTGCGCAATAAAAAAGGATGAGCAATTGATACATGCAGCCCCTTGGCTGCATCTCAAAGGCATTATGCTGGATGAAAGAAATCGTTTATTTGACATTAAGGATCAGGGAATACCTCATAGATAGAGAACATATCAGTAGTTACTAAGGATTAGGTTGGGCAAGAGGAAACATGAGGGAATTTTTCAGGATGATGGAACCACTCTGTATCCTGACTGTGGTGGTGGTTATATGAGTTTATATATATGTTAAGACTCATAAAATTGTGTTTCCAAAAAAGGTCAATTTTACTGAATGTAAATTTTATATAATTTAATTTAAAAGTTTGTTTCCATCACATTTTTAAAACAAGAAAGA